TTCAAGAAAAATAGACCCAGGATTTTTATGGAAATTATTTTAGGGACCAGGGAAGCTATTGGATAAGAAGAATCCATGTAAAATATTGTGGATTAATTTCTGAGTTTATTTTACATTTCCAAAATTATAGAGGAAGGATGAAATTAGAAGTAAGGAATGAAGTGAAGGGCATAATGGTCATTTCGCTCTCCCCCACCCTTATTTTCTGCCAACACATCTCTCCCATTTCGTTTTCATCGTGCTGAGCTTTTGAAAAGAGAGAGAGACCGAGAGTGAGAGTAGAGAGAGAACCAGGCATCGATGAAGCTAGAGGAGTAACCGGAGGTAGGGAAGTTTACATGCAAACCGATTAATTGATCAAAGTGAGTCTCTTAAGCACACTTCCATCGTCATTTTCTGCTTTGGGTGGCTGGATGTGAAGTTGATGATGACTTGAGTTTGGATTTAGTGAGAGAAAGTGCGGAAACATATGAAATAAGCAAGGAGGGTTGTAGATTGAAGCTTGTTTGTTTAAAATGTGGTGTTGCATGTTGATAAATCTGGTTGCATGTGGATTTTGGTCCTCCTTTTCCCAAGGCTGAAACAGGGATTAATGGTTCAAGGAAATGGCTCTAACTTAACGAGAAAATGAAGAGCATAAATGTGTGTCTATGACCGAAAGCTTGGGTGTGCAGTGTTGGGTATCTAAATTAGTGTGTGTGTGTGTGTGTGTATGATGTTAATGGCGTGAGGTCTACTTCTGCGATTTACAATTTTCAGAATTTCAATGGTTGTTGTTCTGCATGTCGTTAGCTTCGGGTTCTTGGTTTTTGTGGTTATAGGAATCGGTCCCTATAAGGGTAGAAGAGAATGAGGTAGTAATGTGGAATATATATATATGTGTATATAAGTGTCCGATTGGTTCAGTGATTTAAAAAGAAAAAGTTGCTGCAGTAAATATTAATTAATATGGGAGAAAGGTGAAGCCAAGAGTCTAATACATATGTATACTTGGGAGAGTGTTTTTTGGTTAGTTGGAGTTTGGGAGAAATTAGAGTGGTTAATTTTCTTAAGAGCTTGTAAAGATGGTAGAAAATGGTTTTAAAATCTGGAAATATTTTCCAAATTTTGCGGGGATGTGTATGAGTTCTCTGTCTCTGTTTTATGACTATCAAAACAGAGAGCTTGCCATTAGATCAAGGGTGTTGAATTTGGGATGTTAGAGGAAGGTGAAGGCATACACGGATATAGATGAGGTTATACCTGGAGATTGGAGTTGTAATGCTCTCTAGTATTGTTGTTCTGTGTTTGGCCGAAAGCCAAGGGAGTTTATATTGGTGTGTGTGAAGTTGAAGTAATCAAATGGAATAAATGAGATATAACACACAAACACACACACAAATGAGTCTAGGATTCGGGTAGTTGAGGAAATATATACATATATATATAGTCGCAGATTTGTCTTAACCAATTTATTATATATGTCTATATATAAGTTTGTAGATACCGTGGGATGCTCATGAAATTCAAAGAAATTGGGTAACTTGGAAGCTTGATGGATACAAGCATATGCAGGGCAATGTGTTATGGAGAGAACATTCTTTAATATTCTAGATGTTGAGTAATGATTTTAGATCATTTAATTAAATTTGAATGCCTTAAGTCAATGATGGTGTTAAATTGCTTGGAGTTAATAAGAAATTACAAGGTCTAAATTAAGTTAGTTAAATGTGAGAATTATAAAGGTAGCTAAGAACATGGGGGATTGGACTTTGAATTGGAACATGTAGTTATAGTAAATCGGGAAAATTTTCCAGACTTGAAGGGGAACAAAGGTTTGAAGCGGTAGGATAATGATTTAAAGAATGTTTAAATGTGGTGTTAATATATGAATGGCCATTGGGATATATAATTATAATTAGCAAATTTTAATAGTTTTGTGGCTGTTCGAAGTGAGAATTTTGGGGGATTATATAAGTGAATATATATGAATTTGATTGTTGTGTGTGTGCTGACCGTGGAAATTGGGGTTGGAAAATATTTAATATGAAACTGTTTTTCAGGGGGAGGTTAGGCCGTGGGGTCTAATAGAAGGAGTGATTAAAGCATAATTAATATATTTATATATATATATGTTACATGTGTGTTGATTGAGAATGTTATTATTAAGGCCATGAGAAGCAGGAGCTATGGCTGGAAATTAAAGAAAAGATTAAGAATGAATTTGGGATGAGAACCAAAATGGTAATTAAACTTGGCAAAAATTTAGATTATAAAGGGTAGTAGGAATTGACTGAATTCATTGTTGAGGTTTGTTTGAGGTTTCCAAATAGGGGGTAGAAATTGAAATTGCTTGGCTTAGAAATGAGATAAAATCAATTGGTTCAATTGTGTGTGTGTGTGTATTCTTTTTTTGACCAAAAGAAAAGTAACTGTATAGGTTAAGATAAAAGAGATAACCCTCCAAAAAGAATAGTTCAAATAAGAAAACTTATCCAGGATGACTAACTATCAAGTAAGAGTAGAAATTAAAGAAAATTGGGATTTAAGACAGTAGTTATAAATTATATTGGATCAAACATTAACCTACCCTTCCTAACATAATAGGTTTTGATATCTGTGAAAGCCCACTAAGAAAGCTAAAAGAAAGGAAGAAAGTAAGGTTTAATTGTGAAGCGGAAGGCTTAGGTAGTAGTTCTTTCCTACCTTACACTTATATATAATTGTTGCATGTCTGTTTGTGCCATGTGCTATTCCAAAGCATGAGAACATTTAATCCTTAATTTCTTGCATGAGTTATTAGCCATGATCACATGCAGCTAAAAGATGTGGGGCCTTATGTGCCTTCATTTGTATAGCCTTACATGCCATTACAAACATAGCCTTATGAGCCATTATTTGCATGGCTTTATGTGCTATTGTACGTCCAGCCTTATGTGTCGTTGATTGTGCATTCAACTATTCAACCTAACTGTTGTCACTGCACTTAAATGCTTTATATGCATAACTTGCAAGGTTATGTTCCGCTTGGGTTGTTTTGCTTGCTTTGTGTGATTTGTATATGTGTTTGATGAAAATTATTGCTATGGGGATTCTTCAAAATCTCACCCTCCCTTCCATGATTTACAGCAAGGGCAAGCAGCTTCAAGGGTAAAGAAGTTATAAGAGCTGAAGGGGGGCATGTATGAAGAGCAAGAATGCCCACTACTTTTTGTACTTATGAAGTAAATTATTTTGGTAGCTAATTAATTGATTTATTTAAATGTTTATGGGTAAGCAACCACTACTTGCTTGCGGATATACTATATTGTATCCTCCATAAGGAGGTATGCACTGCTGGTCCTCAAGTAAGTGCCATTGACCGAGATGGCTAGTGTATATACCTATTTATATAACATTATTATTAAGTCTGTGCACCTGCGTTATTAGTCATATGAGCAGGGATCAAATGTGAATCACTCGCAATTTCTAGCTAGTATATGATTTGAAACAATTTACCCAGTTTTTTTCCCCCAGGACAGAAACTTGGCATTTAATGATTCACAGTCCTTAAAATGATCCTATTAGTATATAGAAAGTTAGATGTTGCACACATCAAAATGGGAAGATGAGATAAAGGGGCTCACACGTAATGGGCTTAGTGACAATGGAAGAATGATGGTGAGAATGGTAGCGAGAAATAGAGGAAATGGTGATGAAGAGCTCTGTGAAGCCAATAATAAAGAAACTCCACTGGACTAGCATGCAATAAAGCTGTAAGAACTCTACCATAAACCTTAGGAAATACACTCTTGATAGGCCTGAAGGAATCACTAACATTACGTCTCTCATTCGCAAATGTATTCGTATGCAAGGTTACAACGTTGTGGATTATTACCATCTTTATCACAAGTATTTGGACTTCATTTTGCCTTATATCAGAGAAGGCAAGATTTCTTGTGTGGAAGACATTGTTGAAGGACTTGAGAACGGGGGTCTCAACATTGGTAAGCAAGTAGCTTCACTTGCTAACCACGACTAGAGAGACAGAATATACATGTTTCCTTTCAGTTTCACAGATTTTCTCGGGAAAATAAAATAGCATTTAACTTCTGTATGAAGAAATGTTTCTGTAAGAATGTAACATACATAAGATCACCATATGAGATAACACTAAAAGTCTCTCAGCTACTCGATCTGTTTAAAACTTCAGTGTTGTTGTATTTACTCTTTAAGAAGGTTCCTCAAGTATTTATTGTTCCTGTTATTAAACTTACATATTTGACACTAAGGATCAATTATATATATTCCCTCAAAAGGATAAATTAAGGACGTCCGATCCATTGGTTGACTCACTTTCTTCAACTTCTACTACGGTAATGAATTCATTTTAATAATTAATTATATTTGTTTATGTCTTTGTGCCATAAAAAAAAGAAAAATTAGCATTGTACACTGAGAAATTTATTAATTAATTGAAATTGTTTTCTGCTAGTTGTTGTCATTATGGAGTTAGGACTTGTGGTTTAATTGAATCTTGATTGGCAAACAAACTGAGTTATTTTATTACAGAATTATTACAGAATGCACATACATACTACATTACCCAACAAATATTATATGTAAGCACACGTTCAAACTCCCAAGTGATATTAGAAAGCTTGAGAGACAACTTCTTCAATAATATCCAAGTACATTGAAATGATTACTCAAACACACGACGACTTAATCGAGGATAGCCTCTTAAAAGGTTGAGAGAACCATATGATGACAATATAACAATACAAATACTATGTTCGAAGTAGTTCGGAACATAGAGTCTCTATTTCATCACTGTTATATTGTAGGCAGGACTTCTCCTAAATACTACTACATCTAGTCCTAAATATAAAATTTAGTTTGTAGTACAATTTGCACTACAACTAGCAGATCTTATATTTAGGACTGGGGGTAATATATCAAAAGTAGTTTAAAACAGAGTCTTTATTTCATCACCATTGTAGGCAGGACTTTTCATTCCTTAATCAGGGAAGACTTCCTCGTCAGTTCGTACATGGAGTGTCCAAAGGTTGGAAACCATGATGAATAGCTGCATCCCATATTTTATGGAGACTAAAAGTTGTGGAGCCATACTCATGTACGTTCCATCCTTCCAAGGCATGTACTATTCCAGCTATGCGCCAAGCACTCATTGCCTTTCTTGGAAGCCAATTCTTCAGTTATTGCAAAATGAGATTTCACATGTACAAAATGGAAACATTAAGTATTAAGCATTTTTGAATATATTGAAGCGTCCATAATTAGGCTATTTGTTTGAAACTATTTGCAGAGTACTAACCTCACAAGAATACATGTTCTTGATTGACGGAGGGACCCTCATTGCAGGAGTATAGTGGTAGAAGCAATCTTTTCGCTTTTTCTTTGGAGGGAATTGAGAAAATGGAATGAATAATGAGCCTTCTAGTGCTTTCATCTGTTCATCTTCGTTCCATCCATCTCCCACCAACCATATCTGCAAAGGGTTATTATGTCATCCTAATGAAGGGGGAAAAAGTGAAACAAAACTTCACCAACATCGATCAGTAGTAACAATGTCTTGAAGTTAAAATTTCACCAAATGTATTCACCTTCTTCTCATAAGAAGCTGTTGAAAGGGCAAAGCTTTCTTTAGGGTTTGTGTTGAGTCCCAGAAGAAGCTTCGTTAACTCTTCTTGATATAACGTAGTCACCTGCTCACCAAATTTTAAGATCTTAAGAAATCAGATTGATCCCATTGGTTTCATAAAGTTTACTAGGCTTTGTATGTTTCAACTGTCGAATGAAGTTAAAATTAGATAAAGTTTAAGACATGGCTACCTGCACATTTGCCTCACACAAATACTTGGCTATAGAGAAGGAAACCTTATCAAAGTTGCCACGCAGAAGCACCTGACTTGTACCTTTGGGAATGCTATTCACAACAATAGCAGCGGCTAAGCTACTTCCATCTACAATCTTTACCTTTAGTTTTGGAAACTTTTGAATATATAATTCACCATGTGCATTCAGCTCTTCTTTCTGCATATAATCACACAACAGGCTTAAATATTTCCAAAAAAAAAAAAATGTAAAATTTTAACAGATGGAAAATGATGTGAACTAACCTGATTAAGAAGCCCTAGACTGAGCACCTTAACGCCAGACGAATCAGCCTCAAGAATAGCCCCTTCGATGATCTTGTTCAGTCTTTTCCTTTGCCTTTTTGAGAGATACTGTATCATACAGAAGGAGAATGTGACCATGATAAAACATAAAGTGAGTTACAATATGATGTTTAATTATGTTGAATTAAGGCCAGATTCTTACTTGTTTTGTAAATCTTGGTACCACCCATGATTGAAAATTAAGCTTTTCCAAAGTGTTCCTTTCAGAGACAAAGGTATGACCATATATCCAAGCCATTAGGTTAAGAACAAAAGTGAAGGGCCACATCAAACGAAGATACCATTTTGAGGTTTGAGGGTTTGAGGCTAAAGAAGCAAACCCTAATGGAAGATGATAGATAGAGTCCGACGTTGTTAGGTGGGTCAAGTAAACCACATCTGGGGAATCCTTTGGTCTCTTCAGACATGCTTCAAAAGTTTCATCCGTGGATTCATCCACTGTGCCATACATGTAATCATATATTGGCAAGAATAGAGAGTAATTTGTCCTAAATTTGGTGTGATGCAACGAATGAAACCTGTACCAATCCTGACTTTGTTATTATTGTGAGTCTATATCCATGAAAAGAAACAGGGGACAAAAGTTTCATTCCCCCCCCCCCCATCCTTTGTATAGGAAAAAAAGAAAGAAAGTAATTCTGAACAAACCATCTTAAAAACATAAAAATACATTAAAAAAATAAAATAGGCATTATGTTTTTAAATTTATGGTATTTATTCGGTGTAAAAACAAATATTCAAGATATTCTAAAAATTTTGATGATGCAACTAACTTTTATTGATTCCGAAGATAATACTTCCTAATAACTCTAGATAACTCTAGATGTGAGGACCCTTCTAAAATGATCATAGAAATATATCATGTTTGTCTATCATTGTTTACAACATAATTTTTTAGCCCTATTTATAAGTCACTTTTAGTATGTTTTGCTAGAACTAAGACAAACTTTAAATCTCATTAAATTTTTATTAACATTTAATAAATTCCCAAATTTACTCATACTTAATTAATTTTATATTTTTCAAGAAAATAACAGTTTACAAAGATAAAAATATAACATTTACATAAAAATTTAATGATGTGACTTATAAATATGATTGAAAAATTTTCTCTCCCCTATTTATAAACAGGATTGGATGAGTATTATATATCCATGATAAAATATGGAATTTATGAACCTTTATTTTTATATAAAGTATATTGAAAAAACAATAAATTAAGATTAGAATATTAGTCCAGAATAGAGACTTACGATGGCGTGTAGCAGAAATACTTGAGCCAGGGAAAGAGAGCGAAAAGCTTCTCTGGGAAGAACTCAAAGTTGCAATGTCCAATGTAGTTCATGAAATCGATATAAAACATGTAACCAAATACGGATGCTATGGAGGCTGTTCTTGTCGACAGTAGTGTAACTATTGGTATTAAGAATATCGTGAAATATGAGACGAGTTCAGAAAATGGATGAATCACAGCTGCCATAAAGATAAGAAAAACCCTCAAATTAATTTCTTCAATAATATATAGATATGATATTATTCATTCGCACGATATTGTGAGTGAAGAAAATATCATACATATACATATAGCACTATAAAAAAGAAGTCATATAGTACATATAATATTCTCAAAATGTTAAAGTGTTTATGTGTTGGATACATAATGGTAAATGATCGTTTTCAAGTGTATGAATGCCATGCATATCCTCCTACTATCTTTAAATATTATCAAATATTTGGTAATAACAAACGTCATACGAGTTATAGTTATTAGGAATGCACACATTTGAAAGAATTTAATATTTTGATACAGTTTAATACTTTTATTAGAGTATTAATTTAGTCTGTTAGCACTCATATAAATACTTATGATTATGAAAACAAATCACCAAGACGCCATCAATCTTATAATATTCATAAAGATTAAGGTTTTTGAAATTAGAACAAAACCTTTTCAATTCATCATCTTTTAAAATTATTTCATATTCAAAAAAATTGTTCAAATCATTTCTCAATAGAAGAAGAGAACTAATCTGATATATATAAATTATTCCTCCGGTCCTAAATATAAGACTCATATACACACTAGTCTAAGGGTCTTGTATTTAGGACCGGAGGAGTAAATATGCATATAGAAATAAGCTTTTGATTAAAAGTATGATCTCATTTGTAACATTCTTTTTATCAAAATATCATTTTCTGAAAGCAATGGCACATCATATATGTACAGATATACTCCCTCTTATCTTAAATATAAAAGTTAGATAAGGAGTTTACTTTAATACTAAATCTAACACGTCAATCCATCTTTTTTTTTTCCAAATTCATAATTTTTCCACCAAGTATTCTCAATAACTGCACATACTAAAAGAAAATCAATATACATTTGTTATAAATAAATAGCTTAGTTTTCTTAATATTTAATTTGCAAATTAGTTATCTAACTTTTTTTATTAAGAATAGGATGTAGTACATGCATGTGAAAGAAGACATTAAAAATGAAAAGAAATTCCTGGGAATATTGGGCTAGTCTCATCATATGCAAACTGTACAATATTCATGAGTTTCAAGCAATATATATATATATATATATATCGAAATATGAAGATGAGACGAAGGGACTCACAAGTAATGGGCTCAGTGACAATGGAAGAATGATGGTGAGAATGGTAACGAGAATAGAGGAAATGGTGATGAAGAGCTCTGTGAAGCCAATAATAAAGAAACTCCACTGGACCAGCATGCAATAAAGCTGTAAGAACTATACCATTTGTTCTCCAATATGGTAAGTGACCAGAAGCCTCAGGAAATAACATGTAAATTAGGTATAAAACAAGTCCAGATAATAAGATCTGGTCATCCCTGCAAATTGACATGAAAGAATTATAGAAATGAAGAGAATGAAATTTGAACTTTGAATATTTTTAATCATACCTAAACCTTGTTTCAACTTCAGTTTTTTCTAAGGATACCCGCCTTTATGCTTTGCGAAAAATGGAGGAGAGAGAAAAGCAACGAGAAAATGTTTTCTCTTCTTGTATTTGGATGGATAGGACAAAATACATGGGAAAGATAAGTAATAAATTTTATAAGAGAGAATTATTATGACGTCCCAAATGAGAAAAAGAATTACTAAAGTCTTAATGACAAGTGAGTAAGTGTCATTTTTTATGCTAGAACTTATCATTGTAAGTTGTTCTGTTGTCATTGGGATTTTTTAATAACTTTGTTCCTTTCTTGGGACTTCATCGAAATTCTCCCATCTTATAATGACAACCATACCGAAAATGGAAAAAAAAAATACTCGCCCAATAACTGAAAGGGAAAATTAATATACAAGTTCCTATAGTTTCACTTGATTTTTAATCAAGCCCTTATATATATATTTTTTACTAAGTCCTTATAGTTTCACCTACTTTTAATCATGCTTAGGTCGAGGTTTTTGTATTAAAATTAGGTCAAACTATATGGATCAAAAGAGGGGGAAAAACACTACAAGGGTTGGATTAAAAATTAGGTAAAACTAAAAAGACTTATGTTTTCTATTGATTTTTTAAAATCGCATTGAAGTAGTGTTTTTAATCATATTTTAAGTTGTACCAGTTGCTTTCTCTGTCAACTTGGTCGAACTCAAGGCCTTTATCAACGATCCTGTTGGTGCCTTTAGCAGTTTGATAGCGAGAAACAGAATTCCAGATCAGAATGTGTAGAATTCTCACCAACAGAAATGGGAATATCAGAAAGTAATATGGGTCACGCTCACTGCACGTGACAGAGTACAGGCTATGGCTAACCCATGGGACCAATATCAGGTACTTTAGCAATTCCATCATCCATCATCATACATACGTATCATGAAAACAAAAAGGCAGAATAGTGTGTCAGTTTAATAATATGAATAATCTTGGAACTTTGAATCATCAATATTTAACTGCAAAATTTGTACAGGTTTTTGTTTCATGCAATATGTTATTTTAGTTGCACAAGCATGTGTAGCACTAAATATAATAATAATTAATTTCCTTTGGGGAAAATTGCTGAAAAATCTCTCATTGCAAATTTTATTTCCCAAATATTCTTAAAATTTATTTAAGGACCTAGGTATAACTTGTCTTCCGTCGGTATAATTCTTTTTTAAATATGTGTAACATGTCTTTAACTATGTGTGTGTGTGTGAAATGCCAAGCGTACATAACTGAAAATATGTTACATTAAAGAAAAAAGGGTTGGATTCACCGAAGATGCATGGGTTACACTTGCTCAAAAGCCAGGGTCTTTAACTGTCGTGGGGTAATAAATTTTGTAATGGGGGATTTTTTTGGCAATATTCCCTTTCTAGTTTCTTGCTCAAAGATTTATTTTAGTGCAGATAATTTCCTTAAAATTTAATATATTTGAAGATAATTTCGTGATATATCCCTTTTTACTAATCATCAATTATTAAAATAATGAACTAACATAGTTAATATTATTTGAGAGCTATAATTCCTTTATCAGTATTATCACTCTTATCAAACATATACAAGAATAGAACTCATCTCGAACTCAGGCTAAATAAATGGTTAAGAAGCAGATTAAACAAGTTAAATCAAGCATTGCAGCAATAAGAAAGATGACGTCAGAATATATAACACATGAATCTGATAGGACTAATGAATCCAATTGATCGAATCAAGCTCAAGCGAAGAAGATAAATAAAGATGAAATATCACTAATAATTAAGAATATATAATATAATGAAGAAGTAGGATCAGATTAAGGAATGAGAAATAATAATAATAAAAAAGAACCTTGAAGCTGCCAAGAGGTTTCCAAGGCCAATCTGAGAGAATGCCTGGTTTTGTCGCCATATGTATATCTGGAAGCTATGAATGTGAGTGGTTATAATGCATACATATGGATTCGATCAAAGGGTTTATAGCTTTATATAGAGATTTTTTCTGATTGACTTATTTGCCCATAACCCCTTTAGCAATAAATGCATTACAACAATAATGGCCAGAGCTAGAGTTTGATTAAGATTCTATGTGATGATATCGCAAAAAATTTATTCATCAGGAAAAATTCTAACGATTTAGGTGTTATTTTATTGGGAAAAAGTATAACCTTAATTTTACAAGAGTTAATATCATCTTTAGTCCTTAAAATTTAACATCATTTTTATTTTGGTTATTCAAATTTAAAAATGGTGATTTTGGCTCTTGAAACCTTTTTTCAAAAACCAGAAGCACTACTCTAGGATAAAAAATCTTTAGGTGGATTAAAATAAGATCAAATTTCAGTAACCAAAATCAATGGATCTCAAATTTTATGAATTAAAACCAAAATAAAGTCAGACTTCAGAAATAAAAGATTATATTGACGCATTTTATAAAATGCCTTTTCAATTCTTCACCCTAATACCATTAACAATAAATGCTTATAAGTTAATATAATTTTTGGTCCCTCAAGCTTTCTCTCATTTTGATTTTGGTTCTTCAAGTTTCAAATTATTGGTCTTAGTTCCTGAAGTTTCTTTTTGTCTAAAATATTGGTCTCTATAATTTAATAAAAATTTGAATCATTTTGCCTCTCGAGGAACCAAAGTCATGGTTTGAAAGTTGAGGGACTAAAACCAAAATTTATGCAAACTTAAGAGACCAGAAATTATATTAACCCATGTTTATATTTAAGGGTTAAAGTGCAAAAGTACCCATAAACTTATACCAAATGTACGTCTGGCACCATGAACAAACCTTTAGTGCAAAAATACACATGATGATTTTAAAAAATTGCAAAAATGCCATGATCGTTAATTATTGTAATGTTAACTATTTGTTTGACCAAAGGTGCTAATGTGGACGTTGACATGGATGCTAATGTGGTTTAGAGGGTTTGATAAAAAAGAGTAAAGGTGCTAATATACTTACAAACTTATCCCAAATGTGCACCTGACACTATAAACAAATCTTGGGTGCAAAAATACCTATGATCATTTTAAAACAACACTAAAATGCTACAATTGTTTAATTCATCAAAGATGACTTCCTAGTTTAAACTTTTAACTAAAAAAGGTGACACGGATCCTAAACTTGTGTTTTAGTCTCCCTCCTTCAAATGCAACTCGCTCCTCCCTTCAAATGATCACATTTCAGTCTCTCTCCGATCTCCTCACTGTTGCATTTTCATTGAAGAGAAACAAGCTAAAACTCGCTACAAAACTTACTCCTTCATTTCATCTATCAAAATCTCTCTTTTTCTAAAAAGAGCAACGCTACTCTCTCTCAGTTTCTCTTGTCACGTCTCCTCTAGTTTGCAAAGAGGAGAGGCTTACACTTGAAGGAGGAAGACTAAAACACTACTTAACGTCTATGTCATCATGTTTAGTCAAAAGTTTGAGTTAGACAGTTATCTTTAATGAATTAAACAACTATAACATCTTAGGGTTCTTTAGAATGATAGTAGGTGTTTATGCATCCTGGGTTTGTGTATGGTGTTCAGCACACATATGACAAAAGTTCATAGGCATATTTGCACCTTCACTCTTTTTTATCAGACTCTCTAAGCCATGTCAGCATCCACATCAGCACCTTAGATCAAACAAATTGTCAACATTATAATAATTAATAGTCATGGCATTTTTGTAACTTTTTGAAATCATTATGTGTATTTTTGCACCCAAGGTTTGTTTATAGTGCTAGATGCACATTTGGTATAAGTTCATAGGTTTTTTTGCATCTTAACCCTATATTTAAATTTTAAATGTTGAAATTTTTTTCCCAATAGTATTGATATGTTAAGTTTAATTTCCAAAATAAAAATGATTGTTAAAACAAATCGTTTGGTCTTAGTTAGAGGACTGAAAAAGTATTCTTTAAAATTAAGGGATGAACTGAAAAATTCTAACACTAGGTTTTATTTTATTGTATTATTAAAATTTCAGTATTTTATGTTAATGGTAGTATAATGTATGATATAACAAATTCAAATAAGACTTTTTATAAGAAAAGAAACAATCGAAGTTCACATAAAAAGTTGAACGCTGCAAATATCGTTACTCTTTTTTATGACCACAAAACTAAATTCAGGCTGCACTCCATTGCATTTCAGTGGTGCTTGCTTAAGTTTCAGTATCGTTATTCATGCATCTGTCATATTATTTTTTATTTTTTGGATAAAAAAATATGTGAGTGGAGTTGGGTCATGGGAGCTCACTAGGATCAGGACATGCTTCTAGGCTCAGAAAACACTTGGAAAGGTACTTATAGATTACCCAATAACAATATTTTCACATCAGCAGCAAGATTAGAACTCATGATATTATGAGTTATGAGCCCATTTCTTATCAATTGGGCTAACTTGTTGGCATCTGTCATATTATTTTAAATTAGATGTGCACTACACGCCTTAATAAAGTGTGAGAAATAATATCTAACAAACCCTTTTATTTATATGACATAAATATTGTGACTCATCTCAAATTTTGTGTGATTATACCACATGGATTCCTATTATAGGTTGCTTCTAAAAAGAAAAATTTATTCCCAAATATAAGTCATTTAGAGGATTATTAATAATTATTTTTAAATTTTATCCCCATTTAATTCATTTTATGTCAGAATGATTTATAAATGCAGTGGGAAAATTTTTTGATAATTACAAATTTAGAAAATTTTATCAATTAAAATATATTTAACGATTTATTAACTGATTGAAACTGACTTACTAGGACCGGAGTGGTACAATGCCTGAGCGCCTAGCTATTCAAGCGTGTTTCACCCTAAGTGAACCACTAACTAATATACAGGGGGAGAGGTCCCCTCCCATTTCCATTCACTTGCCATCTCAATTATTAAGATTGTAAATTGAATGGTTCACATTTTATATTTTATAAATTTATAAATAAAATACTTTTATTGTTGTTTTAAATCATCATGACAAAAACTAGTTTTAATTTTATTTATTTATTTTTTAAAACAATTTTACATTTTATTTATAATTTTATAAAATATGAAATCTGGACCATTCAAATTGTAATCTCATAGTTGAAATGGGAAGTGGGAAGTGAAGGAAAATAGAGGGGGAGTGAAGTAGAGAGACCCCTGTCCCAATATGCACTGAGAAGTTCATTTTCTAGCGTAAGTGGGAGTACTTTGAATTCGATGGAGAAAAATATATGCTTCTAGAAAAAAAAAAATTTCATTCCCTTCTCTTTTTTTTTTTTGTCTAGAGAAAAAAATTTCATTCCAAATATAAGTCATTTAGAATATTATTAAAAATTAATAAATTTTTTTAATTTTATTTTCATTTAATTCATGTTGAAAAGAGAGATAGAGAAAAAAGACGTGAGAATGAATGTACAGAGAGAAAGAAGAAAATGCAATACAGCTTGAAAATGTTTTTTTTTCCTAATTTAAGACATATTTAATGACTTCAACTATCATTTTTTGAATTTATGAGAATTAGTTGAAAGCAACTTGTAATATAATAGGAACCATTACTTAGAGGTCAGTACAATATATGGATCAGAAGGGTTAATAAAGGTTGTATTTGAAACACTTTTAATCTACTTAATAAGATATGAGCAGCTTTCGATCAAATCACTAGGCACGACCACACTTATAGCTAGAAAGCAGAGGGCCAAAGAGCATTATTACAGGCGAGGTGCATTTAGTGTGCTTGATGTATATGGCATGGTATATGGTGTCCACGCCAAATAAAATACTCCCTCCCTTTTCTTATAGCTACAACCTTTACCCTTAATATAAAAGTTACTTGAAATTTAGATTTATTTTAAATATGAGATTTAGTTTATTTTGTCTTTTAAATTTATAATATATTATCTAAAGTATTCTTGTTGTTTAAATATATTAAGGAGTTTCGATCTAATGATAGTTATGATTATAAACAGTACTTGAAATCAATCAATACATATATGTTACAAAGAATTTAACTAATTTATTTTAAGCTATATAAATTATTTAAGTAGTTCTTATATTAAACACTAGAGGTAATATAACTTTTTGAAAGAGAAATAGGTAAAAAGTACCTAGTTGAAAATTTTATTAGTTAAAAGGACTTAAATTTCACTAAGTGCAACTATCTTCAATGTGTCCAACTTTTCTTTAGTTAGGCGTAACATATCCTTAACTACGTACAAATGACTTTCATTTTAACAACCATTGCATATGATTGGCAATAAGTTACCCATAACTTAAAAAAGTTACATCTGTAGAAGATAGTTGCACTCATCAAGTTTATGTCACTTTGATCAATAAAATTTTTAAACAGGTATTTTTTACCAAATTCCTCTTCTTTTTTTCTTGTCAAAACCAAATTTCTCTTTTTTTGAATGGGTATATGGGTATATTCCTTTTGATAAATTACACTTTGATACCATTTTTTGATTTTAGCCCTCAGTTAACTACAAATCTTTCTCATCTCCTTTTTCCACTCAATATCTTTCATATCTTTTTCCACTCATTCTCTCTCCTGGCCAGCTTTCCATAAAAGGGTATTTTTGAAAAATAAATTTCATTTTTTATTTAATTTATTTGATTTGATTTATCTTTCAAAAATATAATGGGGACAAATTGCCCTTTATTGTGAAAGAGCTACAGGAAGCATTTTTTTTCCCAAAAAAAAAAGACCTGAATTTTTTTTTTGGCCTGAAAAAAAGACCTGAATGGCTTGCTCAGATTTTTTTTTTTTGAATAAACTGCTACAATTGTCTACAAAAAATTGTTTTCTTTTCTTTTCAGATTTTTATTTTTAAATAAAGAAGCGCTACAGAATGAATGTGTTCTTTTCCTGAAAAAATTGAACACCTGCATAGCTTTCTTGGAATTGTATAGCATTTCGCCAAGATTAAACCGAATCGTTATAACTTGCAAGTGCTATAAGTGTTCAATTTTTTCTTTAAAAACGCACATGAGTCTTTTTTCTCCTTGAACAAATTGAGATCTTATAGCGTTTCGTTAAATAGAACTCTTGTAAGCACTGTGAGTGTTCAATCTCTTCTTTAAAAATGCATCCTAGAGCGCTCTCCTGATGAAACGCTACACGAGGGGTTTCTAAAATCCTACCCAAACCCATATTCTCCATTTTCTTTTAGTTTTCTCTCCTTTTTACTTTCTTTCCAAACCTGCAATCCCCACACATAAGGCTGCTCATGAGACGTAATGAGATCAGGACTAGTCCGTTTCGGACCTATCTTGGTGAACAGGATTAGGACGGGATTTTCGTCTCGTATCACATCTTGCTCCAAAAGACCGAGACTGTCCCAGTCCTGACTGGAAAGTCCCATTGTCCTTTCTTTTTAATTAAAAAAACAAACATTGTAATTTTAGGTATAAATTTTTTTTTATGTTATAATAGTTGTTTTTTATTGAGCTTTTAAAAATAAAAACATTATTAAAAAGATATTACGTAAAAAACTCAATTATATAATATAAAAAAAGGTGTAAAAATAATACTGTAAAAAAAATACCGTAAAAGAAACATTTTATAATGGCTTTATAAATTATTTTATTAAAGAAAAAGATTTTGTTGAGATAACACTGCAACTTAAAATCTAAAAATCACTATAAAAATTTATTATTATTAATAATAAGTAAATTAAATAATCTGATAATTATTGTTAACAAATTATTTTCTCCTTTTTTTAAAAAATACCTGTTCCATTCTAATTATTGTTCCTTCTTGTTTTGAAATTTTTTTGTCTCATTCCATCTGGTCCAAATTGACTGGGACCAAAACAGGATAAGCTGAAAACCCCTCCCACACATGCACAATCTTGTTCCCCACCCCCTCCACGCTTCATCTTTGCCAGCCCCGTACCTTCGACCCCCACCCTACTCCCATCCCCACTATCCCCAACCGTCTTTGCCGCCTTCTCCCCTGACCCCACTTAATTAATGCTTAGTGGAAGTTTTCAGCTCGTCTTGTCAGGAGAAAAAACATAACAATAATAGACATATTGGGTAATATGATTCAAAACTTGATTTTTTTAGAAACGCACTCAATATAATTATGTATATTTTATAAATGAAATTCCATGTTTGTGTTTAAATCTTTTTGAAAAATCTGATGGGTTAGAAGTTTAACTTCATATATATATACACACACACACTTTATATAAAATTGTCTTATAAAATTTGGATGAAATTCTATTGATTTGATTTTTGAACACTCACAAAAAGCAAGTAAATCGACTTCCTAACAACTCCCCAAGATTTTTTATGGCAAAAGTCAAAATGATTTGATGATCAATTATTAGGCATCAGCCCATCGGGGTGACATAGAAGTTGAATCAGTTCCTTTCCAAGTTATAAAGAAGATAGGAAAACCATTTTGCAGTGCACGTATTTTTTTTTTCTTTCTTAATTCTTAATTTAGTGCACTTTCATGTTTTTAATTAAACTATTAGCACTGTTAATTACTACTACTTCCAGTCCTAAATATAAGAACTAGTTAAATATTTAATTTGATTATATATATAAGATTCCAATCTACTTTGTTTTTTATATTTATTTATTTTTTTCGAAATAGTTCTTATGATAGTTATACATGTTAAATGGTTTTTATTCTAATATACATGATTAATAAAAGTATTATTTTAGGAAAGACAACTCTCATTCATTACAAATAATTAACTTAACCAATTTTTTTAATATTTAAAAATTAGTTATCAAACTCTTATATTAAAGATAAAATGTAATATAACTTTGTTTTGTTAGCTATTAAACCCCGTAGAGGAGCCAACAGTCCCTTTCCAGTGTCCAATAGCGTTAAGAGATGAGAAACCTCAAGAAATATCATGTAAATTAGGTATAAATCAAGTCCAGATAATAAAATCCGGTCGTCCCTGCAAACTGGCATGAAAGAGTTACAGAAAGGAAGAGAATGAAATTTGAAACTTGTGAATGACGAAGGTTTAACAACATGGTAAATTTCGAAGGATGACAATTCAGTAGGTATGCTTTCCCGTATTTCCTCCTCTTTTGCCAACATGTGGTATGCCATCATAGACAAGATGGCTTTCAAGAGCAGCTACGTCACTTTTAAATTTAAATTGAAAAACAATTTCTTTCATAGTAATATCTTTAAATATAAGAAACAAATTATCCTTATCTAAAATTTTAAACTTTTTTTTTCCAATTAATATATGCCACTTATTATCTTTTTACAACAAATTTTTACTCATTATTTTTCATACACTCTCTTTATAAATAAGGATATAATTAAAAAAAGTATTTACATCTTATATATTTACTGCTTTTAACTAAATTTGGCTAACTCTATGAACTGATCGATTTTAATAATTGTTTTTATAATAAAGGACAAAGGGCATATTTATCTATCTATCATTTTTTTTTTCAAAATGTTTTCATATAAAAGTAATGTAAAACAGTGAAGGGGAAAGGAAAGGGGGGAAGAATAGCAGACAAACAAAGAATAAGGGAGAAACTCGGAGAAAGAAATTCAATGATTAATTCTTTTTTTTTTTTCTTGGAATGTAAAGGGCAAGCTAGAGCTTGATCAAAAGAAAACCAAAATCCTAACCGCTAGTAGTAAACCTTCCCGTCGACTCCATTCGGGTCTCTTCCATAACAATACTTCTGCAGTTGACAGGTACTTGATGCAGTACGCGAACCTGATTATCTATTGAGTGAGCTCCCCTGGCTAGGGTATCTGCGCACATGATCGCCTCCCTCTTTACATGAACTATTTGAACAGAACCAGTTTTATTACTCATCAATTTGATAAGTACTCTAAAACTTATTAAATCTAAATTGTTTATATCTAATTTGAACAGTCTAGATTTAAAATTTTTAATCAATAATTTTTAAATAAAAAACTATTTTTTAGAAAAAAGAGATTATCTTTATTTTAAATTCTATACATATTAAAATAATTATTTTAAATAAATAAAAATAAAAAAGAAATCAAATCCGGACGATCCAAATGAGATATAGACAGTTCAGATCTGATGAGTTTAACATTCTCATCAAAGTGATGAGCACCAAAACTGAACTTGTTGGCTTTTATACAGTAGTTGGCGTGTCTCTTCAATTTCTCTCTGAAACGGATGATTAACTCCATTATCTCTCAACAAAGTGTTGATTGCTTCTATCGAATCTGAAAACAGGTGGATGGGTTGTCTCTGAAGAGTAATTGCACAGACTTGGATTCCCGTTTCAATCGCAGGGACCTTTGCTATGGTAACAGGGAATTTTCCCAGTGCATGTTGGAATCCCAACACCCATTCTCCCTCCGCGTTCCTCATAACCCCTCCGCATATTTTACCGGACTGATGCATCAACATCGATCCGTATCCGTAGTGTGTCCGCCGGGGGAGGTGTCGATCTTAAACTCCTCTCCTCGTTTCCCTTTAGCAAAAGATGTCTATACTTTCCTGTGGCTGTGTCCATCAGATGGAAAATACATTGTTGGCAGGTTGAGCCGGGTCCGAACAGTTCCTTCAAAGATCCTTGAGCACCGTGCTTTCCAAATGAGCCGGCAAACATGACCAAAGATTCTAGTCCATGGCCACCTTCTGAACCGAGCTTGAGCCGGGTTTTTCGACATGTTCCATTGAAGCCATTCCTGCAAGTCAAAAGAGAAGAAGGCAGTATAATGGTTAGCTTCTAAAAGTAGCTCCTACACTTCCTCGCTTCCTCACAATCTCTCAAAGTTTGTATGATGCTCAGCTCACGCTGGTGACATAAAGGGCATTCCGCCGTCTCTGACATCCCTCTTATGGCTCTTAATTTGTTGGTAATCAGTCTCTCACTTTTCCCAAGCCAGAAGAAAAATGTCATATTTTCAGGCACTTGCCAACGCCAAGATTTCTCCAGTTGTGTCGAGCCCAATTCTGTTTCATATAAAGGCGTACAAAATGATATCGTTGAAAATTATTTATAGCCTCAACCCTAATTTTAGCAATTAAATGTAAAATATTCTGAATTTTCCAAAAATTAAATGCCAATATTCTGACATATTCTTGACTGAAAAAAGATAATAATAAGTAAAACGATTACAAGAAATTTTAAAAAAAACATTATAGATCTTCAAATCTTCAAAAATTCCTTTCCCCCCTTCTTTCTCGTATTTCCATAAAAAAGAATCTAATTTAGTTTTTTTTTTTATACATATAAGTTAGCCTATTAACATACTCTTGTTTGATTTGATTATCATGCATTTTGTAGCACTAATGATTTTAATACCTACAGGTGTCCCCTTCAATAAGAACATTTTAGGAATACGTCCCCGTAGAAAATAAAGAACTGAACATCAAGGACGCAGCCCATACACTCATAGTTGCAGCCATTCTGATAGCCAGTGACATTTGTAGCTGGCTTCGCAATACTAGGTGTGCTTTACTCTTCTGACTACAGAAACGTCCCTAATAAAGAAAGAGGCATGACAGTTTTGGCTGATCATCGAAGGCTTTCCAAATTGTTCTTGATTTTTAGCACAATCCCTATGTATTGTTCTACTTTGAGCACTTTTATTCTTCTTTGGATACATTTAGGTGATTGATGTCATACCCATGCACTAGTAAAGTTATTCTATTTGACTTTGAATCACTAAAAGTAAGGTTTCATCTTACAAAAAACAATTTTTTTTTAACTTTTACCAAACACAGGGTTTGATGCTGTTTAAGAAATGAGATTTTCTAAAAAATTCAAATTTCTCAAAAATCAAACACTTGATTTAACCCTTTTTACAAAATTGGTAAAATTTAAAAAAGACCCAAGTTCGCATTCAACCACCTGAACCCATTTATTTTCCATCCAACCATTAGGACCTGTATTAAGTCAATTATCGATCGTAGGGCCTAGCATTCCATACCCTGATCACTGGCCCATTAAAAGAGTACATATATTCATACACACAATCCTGGGCATAATAATAACAAATATGAGCATACAGACTATTTCTATCATTGGCAGTTACTTGTAGTTTATTTGCCCTTATCCACCTCCTTATGGACTTACATAACAAAATATATATACATATACATACACATTTATATCTTCAATCTAGAATAGCAAAATATAATAAGCATATTTAAACAAAAGACATAATAGATTCCCCAGCCTCCTCCACCTTCAAGCTCCACCAATCATACCTCCCTTGCCCTTAAAAGTACTTGCTTTTGCTCTATACCATGGAAGAAGAGATGAGATTCTAAAGAATCTCATTACTGAAAAATTCATTCATGTAATCATACAATATTACAAACAAACATGCTACCCAGGCCAAAGAAAACAACACCTTGTAACCAAATATAATCAATGATGCACATACACTATACACTCACATAGTCAGTTGCTAACTATCGCGCCCACATTCCAAAATAAATGAAAACCAGCACATATTATCATGACAAATGCTATCATGCAAAGGCAATCTACATGTTCTCATGCATAATAAGCATAATGGCACATCTAAACAAGCCTCAATCAATGCACAATCACATGAAAGAAAAGGAGTTATTACCTTTTGCTCTTTCTTCTATACTACCTTCCCCTTGCTTCCTTCTTGGCTCCTCTCTTAACGGACTTGGGCAAATATCAAATCCTATAAATTATATAGGCAAGGGCAGATTAACACACACACATATATTCATCTATTGTACTAAGACAACAAATTCACTTCCTTTGTTTCCAACTTTAATTCATTAAATTAATTAGCTCTTTGCTTTATGTTTGATCGTAACTTTAATTTATTTTCAAGCCATTACCCTTCTAAGTTTATTAAACCATTCGCCAAATCAAAACATATTTAAAAAATAGAGTTGTCCAAACAAGGAAGAAGATAGTATGTATAATCAAATTATAATATTTCTAACTCTATATCTTCCCTTGTAGAGACCATAAATTCTTTATTTCCAGTTCTTTTTAAATTGAGCACAATATGGCCATAGACTTTCACTCCAAGAATTTTAAATAGCATCTCATACACTAGTTCATAATTTGAACCGTACAATTTTCTAACATTTAAGCATCTATATTGAGGTTTCAACATTATTCTTACATTCTAGAAAATTTTCCCAGACTTAAAACAATGATCAAGCCACCATTTCAATATGTTCAAACTTGATTTAATTCTCATCTTAATGATCCCAAATGCAGTCCATTCATCTAGAACAATTACTAAGCATTTGGCACATCAAACAACAAACCTTGAATCCAGTTTTAAGCTTCCAAGACATAGTCAAATTCAATTCTCCCTAATTAAATAACGTTGTCTGAAACAGGGAAGAAAAAGATCCTCAAACTCAAACTCTAACATCCCATCCTTCATATTAGATTTTAAACCATTGTTTTAATGTCCTTAACCAAATTCCGCAATATAAAATAATTTCTTGACACCCAGGGACATTAAACAGCAAATTTGAATCAATTCCTAGCTCCCCACGTCAACCATTATGGCACACTCAAGCATAATTATATGTGTATCTCATGTTTGTAGCATTTAATCACAATAACACCTCCCAAATTTCGAACAGCCCCCCCCCCCACGTTAGTTCTGAAAATTATCCAGCTTCAAAACTATTTTCTTACCATTACAGTAGAGCTTTTAGCCTAATCTAATAATCGAACATAACAATACTAATTGTGCAGCATTAACCAATAATAATTCTTCAATTTTCCAGTTTGAAATATTGCCACTAAAATTCCAGATTTGACAAGCAAGCCTACCCACACACTCATAATTCCTCCGAATCATCACTTTCAATCAGCATAGTAACCACACACACATATATTTCATATATGTCAATTCAAACCCATGCTTCCATTTCAAATTGAACAACCACACACACGCACATGCCCGCGCGCGCGCGCGCACGCGCACACACTTACTTCCAAAAATATTCCTATATATCTTCACTTTAGGCTTTACTTATCTCCATTCCTCTGCTACATATCACGCCATTTAACAGCAAGTCTGGAAATTTTTCCCAGTCACCAAATCTCTGAAAAGAAAAAGTAAACATCCTACATCTCATATATATAAATATATATAGACACATCACAACATCTTCAACTTCATCAAAAACCCAGCGCTCAAAGAAGCCAAAACAAAGTTTAAATCCAAAATCACAGACCCAATGTTCGAAAGTTATAAAACAAAGTAAATCAAGCATATGCAGTCCAGAAACCCCTTCCAAGATCTTCACTCAACTCCAAATTCTTGCTTCAGCTAAAGCTTTCCTATTCTTCGACTTTCTCTCTCTAGAACCAAATTTCAGCCACTTCTCTCACTCCCAAATATTCCCCCAAGCGAAGAAACTAAGAGTAAAAGGAGATTTAGAAGACTCACCTAAATCAGTTTCTAAGACTGCATACGCCTAAAACTTCTTCGATCACCTACTCCCCGTCCTCCTCCCCCCCCCCCCCCGGGGGGGTCTCTCAAACCCTCTCTGGTTCAGGTCGGGCAATAGGGGAAAATGGAAAGGCCGGAGATGGTTTTGGACTTTTGGCAAAGTAAATGGGGGTGGGGGTTTTGTTGTGGGACGTGGAATGACCATTATGCCCTCAGGTTTCCATTTACTTACAATTGGATCCTTCTTGGTTCTTAAGCATAACTAGGCCTGCTTGGCACGGCATAAAAGTTACTTGTAACTATGTTTGACATAAAATGAGACAAAACTTTTCTAATATATTTATTTTATATTTTGTAAATCACGATTAAAAAGTTACTTATAAGTCATTTCAAATGAGTTCTTAATTGATTTCTAAATTCTCTCCCTTCAATAGCTTATTTGGCCCATAAAATAATGTTTTCAAAAATTTTGGGTCAAAAATTAATCCTTAACTATTTTTTCTTGAATTTTTCAAAAAAAAAAATCCTAAATTCTCAAAATTAGCTTTATAATTATGTAGACCATATTTTAATGGTTTCATTCTTAACAATTTCTCTAAAAATTTCTTCTCAGTCATGCTTTAATTAAATCCACAAATTTTGAGATATCACAGTCGACTTCTACTAGTTGGAGCATTTTTGCTAGCAAGGCGTTTTGTTGCATTGGCTATTATAACCATGACTTCGGCCTTTATGACTGCCACACGTTTACTTGCGAGCAATAACATTCGCTTGCAGGTTTAAAAAAATGTCAATTAATGGATTTTCACTTCGTTAAATCTTTTTTTTTTTGGTTGAGCCTAGGATATCCATCACTAGTAGTAGTGTAAATTTCTCAAAAAAGCTTTAGTGCTGGCTATGAGACTCTCTCCATACATACCGTTAGGGATTGAACCCCTGACTAAATATTTAAAGAATTTAACTAAGTGTCAACTATGCTAGGCCTCGTGGTTTCATCCTATTCCTTTGCTGTTGTGTTCCTGTGACTTTGTCTTCCTTTTTTTCATCAAGTTGCAGAAATCATTATTGTGATTGTTATTATTAGTTTTTCTTATGAAAGGAGGGATAAGAGGGTTTATGAGGTTAGTGTGAAATCTATCAAAACAATCAAAATGGTATTACCAAAGACCATGGTGCCTTAAATCTCCTTTTGTGATTGAAGAACTCCAGAAGAAAAAGGCTCTCAATAAGGCACTGTTTTGTTCAATATCATTTCATCTATATGGGTTAATCCAGTGTAATTATTTGGACAATAAACTTTTTTTAATTATTAGTTTCTAATGACTTGAAATCAGTAAAAATTAATTGGTTGTTGTTATTATTGTTATTGTCTTAGTTTATGTTAAAATTGATAGACTATTACTTTCTACCTATGGTCATCATAAAAGCAAGTTAGAAATTAACTTCCATCCTAAATATAAGATCTTAATTCAATTTATTTTCTAAATTGTTACTTCATGCTCTAAGGTATCCC